GCTTATATTTTAATCCCTGATGAACAGAATTCTCTCTGCTTCCTGGTTGTCATGTCCTGAGCTATGTTCTTTCACTATGCTCATTCTCCATTATGTTTTTCCTCACCTTGGGTCCAGAGAAATGAAGTCAGCTGTCTATGGACTGAGACCTCTGAAACCGTATGCCAAAATAAACGTTTACTCCTTTACATTATTCTTGTCTGATCTTTTGGTCACAGGAATGAAAAAGCTGACTGAAACACACTGGGAACCAGACTTTGTATCTCATCTCATTTTTTCGTATAACTCAAGCAGATTATTTTACATCTGTTTACTCAAAAGTTTCTCCTCTGTGGCAATATATATGAATGAACCAGCTTTTTGAAATTACATTGACCCCTTCCTTGTCTTCCCTATCAAGGATATAATTCTACATCATATCTTATCTGCAGTCTCATCATTGTTAGGAGAGATTATTATATGCGTTATAACCTTCAAGTGTACTGGGATTGAAAAAGATTGAGTACTATTGATCTTAAACCTCTTTTCTAGCTCTGAAATTCCTACTGAAAGTTCCTCAAACATAAGTGACACAGAGGCCAGTGTAAAAGGCTAATATTAAATTTTTACCATACACTCTGTAAGGGGAATCACCTGGTATTTTAGAGGGCATAAGAGATATCAATATGTGTGGGGTTTTTATCTATTGGTCAAGAATTACTGTGTTTTCATCACAGATCACTATAATATGGAGACTCTCTCCAATGCAATACAAATTCCAACCTTCCTCTCCTGTAGTCAACACACAATTGTTGGTAATACACAAGAACTTGTCAAAGATAGCAAAACTGCATTCACCATTAAGATAAGGGCTCACTGTTTCTGTTGCACCACCAGCACCAACAACAGTGCTTACTACATTGTAGCTTTTTAGTAACTGTCCAATGGGTTACAGTATAAAGAAATGAATTAGGAGGGAATATGGATCTACCACCAAAAGGATGTTCTGTTGATTTTGGCATACCCTGGATGCTAAATGCAAAAACAAAGAGTTTAGAGATGTCTCTGGAAATCCTTTTGAGTGGTAAAATGGTTAAACCTAGGCTGGGCCTATAGCTCAGTAGCAAAGCACTCATCTGGTACTTGTGAGGCATTGGGTTCGATCCTTAGCACTGCATGAAAATAAACAAATAAAATGAAGGAATTCTGTCCTTCTACAGCTACAAAAAAATTAAAATAATTTTTTTAAAAAAAGATGGTTAAACCCAAGCCTGGCTTGAGGTTTGGTTGGGACTACCCACTTAAATTTTAACTGCTTATAGAAAAATAATTTAATACTGTCTCTGAAAAAATATTTTGCTGAAATAATTTTGTCAGAGCTTAACTAGTCAGAATATCTTCTGATCCAGTGTTGAGGAAGCTGGAAAAAAATTTCTTTATCGGGCTGCTCTTCAACATATAAACCCATTTTACTGCCCAAGTGGGATATAGTATACTTAATTTGTTATGTTGTTATCTTACCAGTCTCAGGATTCATCACAAGCATACATATAGATTGTGTCTTGGATGTACTTAAAGTAGACTGGGATGAAGTTGTATTGACCAGAGTGACCTTATAAGTAGGCTGAGTGGATGGCAACCCACATAATTTGACTTGAAAGGAACCAAAAATGCTCTTTTGTCCAGAAATCTCTCTCTTCTGGATTGTTCCAGTACCTGAGATTCCAACACTTGGACTCTTTGAATTAAGGGTTACATATTCAAGAGTTCCTTTTAAAATGTAAATATGCCTACTGGATGCAGTGGTACATATCTGTAATCCCAATGACTCTGGAGGCTGAGGCAGAAGAATCCTGTAATCCCAGTAATTTGAGGGTTGCAGCAGGAGAGTCCCATAATCCAAGCAATTTGGAAGTCTGAGACAGGAGTGTTCTGTAATTCCAGCAACTCTTAGAGAGTGAAGCAGGAGGATTGCAAGTATGAGACCAACCTTAACAACTTAGACTCCGTCTCAAAAATATTTTTTTGAGGGGCTGAAAATGTAGTTCAGTGGTAAAAAGTGTCCCTAGGTTCTATCCCCAGTACTGCCAAAAAAGGTAGGGGGTGTAAATTCTCCTTAAGAGGACTCGTTTATCAACCTGATTGAAATCACAGGATGATGAAAGTTTGAAAGTTCATGTTCACTGAACAAGTTTACAAAACAGGCATCTTTTGAAAGGTGGAAAATGTAGAAGTCGGTTCTGAGTACTTAATCCTGCCTGGGGGATGCAGACCTGAGTAGGTTCCTAAGCAAATAGGAGCATGGGAAGCCTGGGTGTCTGGAAAATAAATTGCTGCAATGACCAAGAAGGAGTCCTAAATGATCCAAAGATACCATTTCAGATGAAACTCACATACTTCCCAACCTTATCCAGATATAGTTTCTACATGGACAACATGTTTTCTATTACTTAAATTCCAGATTTTCCATCCATTCATGTCTAATTTATTGTATTAATTTCAGCTCATCTTCCAAGCTGTCAAGATCATTTAGAATCATGATTCTGTTAAACAGCAAACTAAGTCACTCTTCTTAATCTTGCATTCAGGGAGTGTATAACTAATCTAAAACTGCATATGACACTTTATAAGCATTTTTCAATGACAAGGGGACCAGATTGTTCTGCAGATTCTCACAGTGATTCATGATTTCAAGAAAGTTAAAAACCATCAACACAACTATATATCAATATTTTGAACAGAACATTGCTAATAAGGACAGAGCTCTACAAGACTGCCAATACTGCCTTTCTACCTGATCACCACTGATCCTTCAGAAATTTAGGGGTGTAATATTGACAGTTGTCAGTCTTTTCCTGTGATTTGTCTCTATTATCAAAGTAGAAGCGGAAAATTAATTCCAGCTACTTGAACATTCTGATAATTGACATTTTTAGTGTTTAGTGTTTAATCTTGGATTATTAGGTCATTCTTAAGACCTTCATCTTTTTGCTGTCTGTACCCATGAGACACCATATATTATAGTACTGTCTTCCGTTAATGGAATTATAAATGCTTCAAAACTCTGAGACTGACTGCAAATTGACAGATCAAAGATAATACATAAGTTTGCTATCTCTTCTCTCCATGGCTCTGAACAAATGAGTGTTAATTTCCATTTCAATCCACCTTAAAAACTACAAAGACTCTACTTCAATTGGCATGTAGGTATGATCTATAGAGAAGAGATTTTGTAGTTTAAAAAAATTCTTTTTATGTAAATCTGGATGTGATAAGTTAGTGATCCATACCTCTCTTGAAAAGGATTCGCTTTAGAAGAAAGTCAAACACACAAAAATACATACTATGTAATCCCATTTGTAAGAAGAGAAAGAAAAGGCAAAACTAATCCATAGAGATAGAAAGCATTTTGACAATATTAATTCTTCTTATCCAAGAACATGGGAAGTCTTTCCATCATCTAAGGTCTTCTTCAATTTCCTTCTCTAGTGTTCTGTAGTTTTCATTATAGAGGTCTTTAACCTTTTTTTTGTTAGATTGTTTCCCAAATATTTTTGAGGCTATTGTGAATGGGATGGTTTTTATGAAAAATGATGCTCTGATATTTCATGCTAAGTGAAATAAGCCAGTCCCCAAAAGCCAAAAGTTGAACTTTTTACTGATATGTAAAAGCTAGCCCACAATAAGTCAGATAAAAAGTAGAAATTCAGTAGATAAGACAATGAGGAATGGAGGAAGGGAGGGAGATAGGAAAAGGAAAGACAGTTGAATGAATCAGACATAATTTTTCTATGTACATATATAAAATCATCACAGTGAAACCCACCATTATGTACATCCACAAGAATGGAAGCCTAACTAGAATAAGATATAATCCATGCTTGTATAATTATATCAAAATGGATTCTGCTGTCACAAATAACTAAAAAGAACCAATAAATGAATAAATAAATAAAAATCTAAAAAAGAAAACATCGTTTGCTGAGGTGCAGGGTATAGTGGGATTGTGCAAAGGGACATGGGGGAGTATTTGGGGTGATGCAATATCTTTATCTAGATAGGTATGATGGTTTTGTGGATATGCAAAACTTAAAATTCATCAAATGTGGTGCTGTTTAATGACATAAATTATATGTCAATAAAGTTGTTTATGAAAGGATTTACCTTAGCAGTCATCAAATTCAGATTTTATTGAGTATTATTTATTGAGCCTTAAAATAAGTTTTAAAATACAATTGATTACAGAAGTGAAAAAAGTGTGTCTACCTGTAAATTTCTTCAAGGTGAGATATGAGTGAAATAAGATCATGAAAAAACTTAACAAGTGAAGAAAAGGAGATATCAATGCATTTTTGTTAATATGTAGCATATACACAAGAATAACATCTCTTTATCAATGTGGAGTATACCAACAGTAAAACAGATTTTGTAAGTAGTTGTTATTATCTAAAATAGATCTGAAGTGTTCATTGAGAACACCTTCCTAGTGTGCCCCTTCAAAGTACATAAAAGTAACATCACAGTGATAACGTAATACCTATTCAAAGCTAACTTGTACATCATCTATCAACGCTTTGCATTCACTGAAGGAAAATTATATTTCTAATTGTTTGCCTGTATAGTATTTGGCATTTAAATATTGGATTATTTTAAAATTCTGCTGTGCTTAGTTATTAGTCACCAGGATGATTCATTCGGAAATCTATCAGGATAAATGTATCAATTATAAAACCTGGTTTTAAATGCTAAAATACACACACACACACACACACACACACACACACACCTCTGTTGATTTTGAAGAACTTTTTCCTAATCTATGAGATAGTGCTGTCAAATTCTTTTCTTAGTGGTAAATATAACAACAAATAGGGAAGCCTGACAACTAACTAATCCTAGAAAATATATTGAATCTAATTAATGCCACTTTGTCATGTGTGCATGTGGAACATATGAAGAAAAGCTAAAAACAAGAAAGATTTCTGAATATTTCAGAAAAATTACTTCAAATGAGTTAGAAATCACTTGCCTTGTCATTTATTATGCATGTTAGTATAATTTTAGGTATTCTCTATTGATGATACAGGAACCCTTGCATTTATTTAATAGTTATCCTGACCCTTTTATTTTTGATTCATGTTAAAAATGAGCACCTTGTTAGAAGAGGCTTGGTCAGAATGGAGGGAGGGGGTGTGGACTGGTTAGGTCAAGTGAATTCCAGATACAATGAATGGGTTCCTTAGTGATGAATGATGTACTCAGGGCACTAATTTATGTCTTAATCACATCCTTTTCCTCATTACACAGGGGCTCAACCAAAACCCCAGGCTCTGTCTCTGGTTCTGGCTCTGGCTCTAGCTCTGGCTCCAGCTCCTGTTCTGGCTCCAACTCAATCTCAATCTCAGGCATCTGAACAGGCTCCTTTCCTAGGACAGGTGCTGGGACAGGCTCTGGCTTTGGGGCAGGCTCATGGTCTGGTTCCAAGATGATAGTAGGGTCAGTGTCATGAGTGGAGGGTGGCAGAGTTGCTTCTAGCTGGATAACATCTTCCATTGGAATGGCTTCATTCTCTCGGGTTTCGTTTTTCTTTGTCATTGGTCTACAAGAAAGAAGGTCCAGAAAAGATAAAGTTAGGGATTTGATAACTGAAATTTCATGTGGAGCCATACACTCTATAGCTTCAGTGACACAGGTCCTTCCTAGACTGTTCAGGATATCTGTTAATTCTGATATTCTGGCTCACTGTCAGATGCTGTACGTCCATTTGGGGGTTCAAAAGGGTTAGGTCTCAAAAATATATTGAAAATTCAAGAATGTCAGAACAGTGTTTAAAAGTTGAGAAAACTAATATCAGGGTGAATTTAATAAGGACTCTGAGGGCTAAATTCACAGCTGTGATTTATCTTTATCTTTGGTTCTATCTAGCATCACATTTGGCACCTGGTTGGTACCCAACACATAGTTATGGAAGCAAGCAGATGGGTGAACAAATGAATGAGTGTGTTCTTCACTAAAGAAACGGGAGAGTGGTTAAGAGCATGGGCTGATGGCAGGGCCACATTATGACTTCTATGGTCCCTAGACACTTTTGCCATCATGAGCCTCTTGTTATATAAAAAAAATATTTAAAATTATGTTTATGGCTGTGCTTTTATAAAGACAAGTATGTTAGCATTATATCATAAAAGTTTTTCTTGGATCTAAAAGTGTGGTCTTGGTAGTTAAATGAATTGATGTGCATATGTGCTTAGAACAGAGTGTGGCACACAGGACTCAGTAAATGGTAGCCACTATCATTCTTTTTGTAAAAGCAATGAGTAGAAAGATACCTGTGATATCTGATGCTAAAAGGAGTGCTTAGGAATGACTGACTAAAAGAGACATGTCTGAAAAATGTTTGTATTATAGTAAAGACAACAAGCCAAAAGTTTGTATTCAAGTAATGAGAACTTACTCAAGTTCTGTGGTAGTTTTAGAATTCCTCTTTCTTTCTTTTTCCTTTGCCTTGTTCCTTGCAAAGCACACCACAGAAATGATGATGGCAGCACCTACCAGGGTACCAATCAAGGCACCAACAATGATCCCAACTTCTGGGTCTAGAGGACACAAACAGCTAGATGGTTAGTAAAGGGAAACAAATTGTCATGTCATGTGTGTGCTTGTGACTGGTATAGAATATCTGGAACATTCGCATAGCAGGGAAGTGTCTCCTGTAGACTGATGGAACAGAAAGCCCTAGAACTCTGCCAGTTGGATTTAGAGTGAGTGAAGCAAGATGACAGGCTTGATTATGTAACTTAATCCATTGACATTTACACACAAAGAGAAAAAAATATGCTGAGTTGGGACAAGCAAGGTTGTTTTAGAAGTTGGGTTTAGAGAAGAAAGTGTTCAGTATTAATTTATTCAGAAAGAGAGGGAGACAGGAAGAGACAGAGCATGGAGTTGCAATCTAGTCACCAGAAATATGCCTCTGTTATAAGTAGGGACATTTCACCAGGCTTTCTCAGAGCATAGATGAAATAGGTTTTTAAAAACCTTCTACCTCACATAATCCATGATCACTGAGGAGCCTTGTGCATTCTGGCTACTAGGAAGGAATATGGCTATTTTGATAAACCAGCATCTGGTTTATTACATCAGAGTATGGAAAAATTTAATTACTGTGAGACAATCCAGCTGAGCCCCAGACCTTCAAGCCTGGAGGTGTTGTCCCTGAAAGAACATGTCTGGGTTTTATGCTGGCTCATCCCCATCCACTTCTTCTCAAACAAGGATGGACAGCTTGTATTTTGAGATGGGAGGCAAATTGAATCACTAAATAATTCCTTTAACTTTGGGGAATTAATTTAATTAATAATTTTAAAAGTTTAAAAAGTTAATTTAAAAAGTCAAATAGTTCTAAACTTTTGACAAAAACAGCAGACCTTCTGCTCCACTCCTCCCCATCTCTGGGTCCCAATCACTACAGGCAAGCACTCCTGATTCTTTTTTAAAAGTACCTTTGCCTCTGTGTTTCTATTGTACTTCTCCTGGAATGTCCTACCTTTTTTGATCTTCATTTTTGTTTTAATTTCCTACCCTGGACATTTAGTTCTTTTACAACATTTCACTCAAATCCCACCACATTCTCCTAATCTATCACAAGTTTTAGTTAAAACAAAGCTTGCAGTATTATGACCACGTAAATACTGCACACAGACAAAGAACATAACATACTACAATTCTTCCTTGTACAACATTTTTAAAAACTTTTACTCAAAGCTAATAATTGCCTTATTGGGGTATTTGTTTGGTTGCCACCATTCTTTTCTTTTTTTTCATATTTGTTTATTTTTAAAATGCATTATCCCTAATCCCAAGACTTCCAGAAAATCATTGAATTTGATACCTTTATTTTATTTATCTATTTTTATGTTCTGCTGGGGATTGATCCCAGTGTGTCACATACTAGGCAAGTGCTCTACCCCAGATGTCTTGTAGGTTTTACTTGAAAGTGATATGAGAATGAAGAGCAAACTTCAGGACAAATAATGAAGAAAATTAGCCCCCTGGATGGGTTCAATTTGACAATTCCAGGGCTCATAAGTATTGTGCTTAGAGAGAAAGTAAGCACATTTGAACAGGATGATTGAGGTTCAGAGACAACCTGGCTCTACCAGTTACTAACTCAATGACCTTGAGCAAGTAATTTAACTCCTGGAGCTTCAATGTCTTCCTCAATAAAATAAGGCTAATAATATATTCTTCCTCCATACATAAGACGGTTGGGAGGATTGAGTGAGATAATGCTCATGAGCACCTGGCCAAGTGTTTGTTACATAAAAGTGATTGTGGATGAGAGTATTATTATTATTATTATTAGGGACAGATCTTACCAAATAGTTAAGAACTGGAAAATTTGTGAACTTTGTGTTTGATATAGCTACAGTATCACCTGAATATATCAATAGCATCATAAAGAGAAATACAGGCTGATACTGTCAATGAGATTGCTACATTTATCAAATATCAATATCTTCTCCCTAGAGATTTTTGCAAAGCTGAAACAATTTGCTTTTTGTAAAAGATTTAGGGAACATACTAAGCTTCATGTAAGCATTAGATATTAGGATGAACATTCATCATATCAATCTATAAATAAAGCACACAAATCTCCAGAGAGGCAGAAACAACCAACCAGAGATCCTAATTAATGTACAGGTCCAGGCTACTAGACTCAAGGAGAAACTGTTAAAGATATATGGCCAACTCACGTGAAGAGGTTAGATCAATTTCACAGGAACTATTGCCAACACTGTTGATAGCAGTACACTGGTAATAACCTTGTTCAAAATTTGTCAGATTTCCAATAACCAAAATTCCAGTGTTTGGGTCTGTCAAAACCAGGAAATAGACTATTAAAATATCTTATATAGGTATGAATCATGTCAGTGTAATACATCATTCAATGCCCACCCACTCCCCCATATTGCCCTCCCTTTCATAAGATGTCCAGGGACATCTTGGGTCTGTTCCAAAGGTAGCCCATCTACCACCAAGTAGAACCATACCTAGAGCTGGCTTCTGGAAGTTGGGGAGTAGTTAAGACCAGAGTCTTATGTTGGGAGACAGGTATTCTTTTAAAATTCCTCTCCCCCAACCAAGAAAAAGACAATATTGAGCAGCCAGCCACATATGCCATCAGTCAACCCACCAAACCAGGCCCTGCCAAGGACTGCCAAAGGTGATACTTACTGAAGCTTTCTTTCACTGGCACAGCATTATTTCCCTCAAGTTTATACCAATGGTACACAGGAGATGGTGTTCCAAAAGAAGAGAGGCAAGTCAGAGAAATACTATGGCCCATTTCTGGTCTTCCTTGGATGCTACAAAGTGGCTTAGAAGGTTTGACTGTAAGGCAATTGTAAAGAGTAAAACTCCTGCCAGGATGCATGGCAGCCTGTGACTACTGCAGTCACTTCTTCACTTCATTTTGCAGAATATATGTTTACTAAAAATTATATATATATATATATATATATATATATATATATATATGTAGTGGTATATGAGTGGTACATAAATGTGTGTGTGTGTGTGTGTGTGTGTGTGTGTGTGTATTTATTTATTTATTTATTTATTTTTACTGTTTTCTGATTGTACCACCAGATGGGAGTAGAGCACTTCAGGTGCTGGGACATTCTAGTCAGGAGGCCATTAAGATTCAACTAGTGTCTCTGTCTGCCTCCTCCCCAGATTTATAACCATGAATTTCCGCATTGTGTCTTAAAATATGCCTTTAATAAAACAGCCAAATGTAAGCAAACACTAAACAACTATGAACATAGCTTATACTTGAAAATCAGTTTTAAAGGAAAATAGAACCCTTAAATAACTTGAGATAAACTGTTTCTATTCACTCTAAAAATAGTTCTATTAATACTATATTTGTTTATTCCTTTATGGGTCTTGTTTTTCATTTATTCATCTGGGAGTGACACAAAATGGTTGGGAGATTTGAATTTGCCTGTGTCTCTCATCAGCAGAGGAAACCTATTTGGGTGTGCACACTACACAGCAATGCAATCTCTATTCTGCCTTCACACCAAGCATTTATTTATGTACCTCCTGTGTACCTGACATTGGACTAAGTTCCAGGGATATAAAAGTAACATTGACACATTTCTGAAGTGGTGTAGAGGAGAGTGATGAGGGATGAAGTTAGAGAGTGTCTGGAGTCATACCTTGGAGAGCTTTACAATCCATGTATTCTAAGAGCAGGGAGATCATGGAAAGACTTTAAACAGGTTAGTGATGATGGTTATTTTAACATTTTAGATGGATCTCTCTAACATTGGGGGTACCTAAACCAAGGGAGAAAAGGAGACAATTTCAAGAGGTACTAAGCTAGAGGCAACTGGATACGGGGAATGAGGGAAGATTGTGGAATCTATGATGATTTCCAAGCTCTTAAATTGGACAACTGGGTGCATGATCTTGCCATACTTGTGATAAAGAATGCATGTAGAACAGCAGGCTTTAGGGAAAGGAATAAGGAGGAGGAAGGAGTTATAATGAGGGTGGTTTGGGATGTGAATGATTTTTAGCTAATTATGAAAATACCTGGATGAAGAAGCTGGAAAACTGAAACTGAATCTCCCCATTCATCTTACTTTGCACAGCTCATTCTATCCTTAATCATATATATAGATAATGATCAAAATTACATATAAGGGGGCTGGAGATGTGGCTCAAGTGGTAGCACGCTTGCCTGGCATGCGTGCGGCCCGGGTTCGATCCTCAGCACCACATACCAACAAAGATGTTGTGTCCGCCAAGAACTAGAAAATAAATATTAAAAATTCTCTCTCTCTCTCTCTCTCTCCTCTCTCACTCTCTCTTTAAAAAAAAAGAAAAAAGAAAAAAAATACATATAAGGATTTTCTACTTAGCTCTTGATTTTATCTTCCTTACCAATGGTTTTCTCAGAAGTTCCCAAATTCCAACTTGGTTTGCCTATCCTGAACTAGGCCATTTGACCAGGAGTCCATTGCAACTATAACTAGAATTTCTACTTTTAAAAAATATGAGTATTTATAACTGTCCAGCATGATATAACAATTTGAACAAAAATTAAATATGGGTGTTTCCTTGGGAAAAAGTCAGACTTGAACTAAATTATAGACAGAACCCTGTAATGACTTGCTCTCATTCCTTGAGCCTAGATTCAAACCCAGAGAGGCTTTTAAAAATTTTTTTGCTAAACACATCTTTCTTTTATTTTATTGACAAAACAATTAGTGAATCACTTTGAAACAAGTGCCAAATCTACATATTTTCCAAAACTACTGAATCAAAATTGAATTGACATTTTATCTGGTTAAAGTCTCCTGTAGAACCTAGATATTTCACTGGCAAAGCCATTGATCTACCCTTTAGGTTTATTGCTTTCAACAGAATTGGTGTTGGAAGAGAAGTCTTACCTCAGAAAATAAATGAAATTGCTTCAGTGTGTTCTCAAACCTTCTCTAAATTAATCATTTTATTTTTATGTGCCAAATTGCAAAAGGGAGATAATGCTTATTCCAAATGCACACAAAATAATTATTCAGACTTGACCTCGATATTTTTCAGAGATTGATTTTCCAAGGTTGTCATAACTAATGGAAATCTTTCAAATGAATGTTCATCCAAACCACCTGGTTCTTTGCTTACTGCCATTTCCTTCACCTAAATTGTACCCTGCCACCTCAGCCCCTTTTATGCATGACACACTCTTGCACATCCTTCAACAGTCAGCATAAAAGTCTCTTTCTTTAATAAGCCTTTTCTAGTTCCCCTTACACAGCTTTTTGTTCTTTTTTTTTTTTTGTACTAGTGATTGAACCCAGAGGCGCTCAACTACCGAGTTTCATCCCCAACCCTTTTATTTTTTATTTTATTTTATTTTATTTTGGACAGGCTCTCACTAAGTTTCTTAGGGCCTCACTAGTTCCTGAGGCTTGCCTTCAACTTGTGATCCTCCTGCCTTAGCCTCCTGAGCTATTGGGATTACAGGTGTAACCACCACACCTGGCTCCTTTCACAGCGTTTAGATCTTTTCCTTGTGCCCTTACAACTATCCTCTCACACCTCCAAAGAAAGCTTTTATGTTACATATTTGTCTCCTTCACTTGATTGAACTTTTAGAGGTTTGGGGACCTATCTTTTACATCTTCCCAACTTTGTTGTTAACCACTGTCACTGACACATGTGCTCAGGATTTGATGAATGAATTCATGAATGCACAGGTAGAATATGGGATTGGTGTTCACTGCTGGATGATAAAATGTCTCTGAAAGACACTTTACTGCAAAGAGCTATCATTAAGGAAACATGATTATCTTTTTCCACAATTGGTCTCCCATACCCACCTATACCCACCTTGCTAAACCCCAGTAGAGCAAGCAGAATAGGTGCTCATATGCAATGGGATTTGATAATTTCAAATACTCTCTGCATTTTAAAGATAAATTAGCCAGGGGCTGGGGTTGTGGCTCAGTGGTAGAGCACTTGCCTAGCATGTGTGAGGCACTGGGTTCAATTCTCAGCACTGCATTAAAAAATGAATAAATAAAATAAAAGTTAAAAAAAGATAAATTAGCCATGTTGAAATTTCTGGAAAGGCTAAATTTGTAGGATGGCTTATTTTTCACCCAATGAATAAAGATACAAATTTTGAGACTTCCTGAACAAAGAAATCTATAGACCCTTTGGTCTCTTTCCTTGCCTGGGTCCTAGCTGAATGTAAAGTCATGAAACAGTCATGACAGGAATTAGCTGACTCAAAGACTCATTGGAAAGAATAACTCACAGGAGAGTTACCCTCAACTTCTTAGAGAAATTGATTTGAATCTTCTGAAGCTTAAATTTAAGAACATCAACCTTCTTGTCTAAGTTTATCTCAGGACTATTTTCCAAGTCCTTTCTGAAGAAGCTTTGCCTCTTTAGATTGATTCTGCTCAGAACACTCTGGAGTCAGGGAGAAACAAAATCAGTTAGAGAATTAATCTCTCAAATTATTTGAACATTAAAGAGCTCTTTAATCTCCGATATCTCATTTTATCTTTACAACAAATCACTAAAGAAGACAGGGAAGTTATAACCACATCTTACAATGACCAGAGAAAAATGAACTGATTTGCATGAAGTCACTGAGTATACAATAAGGTTTAGAATTTAGGTCTTTTGACTCCCATCTTGATGCTTTGGCACTTATACCACACCATTTAGTTCCCATGTATATGGCTAGTCTTTCAAACTAGAACATAAACTCTTTTCTCTGTCTCTGTACCCCTATGCCTAGCACAGTGCTCAGCAAGGTAAAACACAAAGGGTTGAACTAATCCAATCTTAAACATTAGCTCTTGGGTACTTTTCCCTCTTTTCCAGGTGGTTAGATGCAGTGGCAAACCTCATGGTAAACATTAGCTATTCTTGTATGCCATCATATCAGTGGAAAGCTAAGGCAATTGTGAGCAGTTCTCCTAGGTATGCACCTTGTTACCAATTGCTGCTTTTCCAAGCAACTCTTATTACTGATTTGATCTAATGTCTCCTTTTGTATGATGTATACACATAGTTGGAGAAGAGCAATGACTACATCAACTCCATTTAGGATTATTTAGAAGTAGGAAATGCTTAGTAAACTGGGTAGGGAGTAAGTGTTGTCAGTCCTTTCCTTCCACCCTTTAGTACTTCCCACTCCCAGGCCCTGCAGGGTTTAGCCCCCATTGTCCTGTCAGATAAAAGTTGGAAGGATCACTAGAGATCACCAAAATTTGGAGCCCTCTAAAGGCAGAAAACATGTCTCCATCACTTATTATGACCCTATCCATCCTGGGACAAAGTAGGCAGTCAATAAATCCTGAATACAAGGAACTACTCCAAATTCATTTTGAGAGCAGATATGACTTGCTTAACATCATATAATGAATATATGTATATACAGAAGTTCTTAACAATGGCCTAATGTGTGTCCCCTTTTCCAAATAGCATGAGCATTTTTAAAAGAGAAAATCCTGCTATTAGGATTTCATGGAATTGTAGTAGACTTGGGAGAAGTAATAATTTGACATTTGTCTCCTCCAGGTAAGTCTGGCTCTAATTGGATGGAAGTTCCCTCTGAAATAGTTGCTTGTGATCATTTGGGGTGGACAGTGACTTGACTCATCTGTTCTCATTGAATTCTTCAGAAATACAGTTATTCGGAGTTTGGATTATCTACTGTTGTCATTTTGGCAGCCCTTTTTGTTTGGGAAATTGCTTCTACGTGTTTTATTAATGATTTCTCAGTGTTCTTGTACAGGTTGAGTTGGTGGTATGTCTCTGTTTCCCTGGTAATGAAAGGAACAGTAAGTATATTTATCCCCAGAGATCTGTTTAGCATCATAACTAGGTACCCTGGTCATTCATTGTCCTGAGTTGCTCCAAGAAGATAAAAGTGTCCATACCTAACACAGTGACGTGCAGAGTGCCTTGGTTATTGCCAACAAAGTCTGGAGGGTTGTTGACATCACAGGTGTAAATTCCACTGTCTGCTGGCTGCATACGCAATATAGTGATAGACGCATTACCTGGAATGGTGGACCTTATAATTCGATCTTTGAATTGTCCAGAGGCCTGACCTTCTCCACCTTCAGAATAGTAAACCTAGGACAGAAAATAACAGAAATGAGAACTAGAGAGTGTCCATGACTAGGATAAGTTATCTGGAAGCTCCTTCTATTCATATTACCTTTGATAAGAAGCAGCATCTTTCTTCTCTGGGGAATAGGTCTCTGTGACCAAGGTTTTGTCAGCTCATGGGGGAACTTAATTTTCTTACAATTGTTCACAGTCATTACCTCAGATAAACTCTGTGATGTCATCTTGGCAGGAGCTGGTATGCCTATTCTAAGAGGAGGGGACAGCTTGGAGCTGACATCATTTAACTCTTAAACCTGGTCTAGGAGATCAAAATGCTCACATGCTGAGTCCTCCTGAAGGAAACTTGTTAAACAGGACCAAATGTCTGATAGGAAATAAAAACTGTCATTTTTTTTACCACTTCATAAACTTAAAAAAATTTTAGTTGTAGATGGACACAATACCTTTATTTTATTTATTTGTTTTATGTGGTGCTGAGAATAGAACCCAGTGCCTCACAAATGCTAGGCAATTGTGTACCACTGAGCTACACCCCCAGCCCCACTTCATAAACTTTTGATTTGAGTTTACCTTACTCAAAAATAGTATCTGATATCTCTAAAAATTCGGATGTTCATATTCTTTTCATACACCTAAATGCCTCCAAATAAGCAAACCTGGATTTCCTCTGTTTGTTAAAAGTATGAGATTTCGTGACTTACTCAGCTTTAAAGAAGAATGAAATTATGGCATTTTCTAGTTAATGGATGGAGTTGGAGAAGTCTTGCTAAGCGAAATAAGACAATCCCAAAAAACCAAAGGCCAAATGATTTCTCTAATATGCGGATGCTAATTCACAATAAGATGGGAAGGAGCACTAGAGAAGAAAAGAGTTACCTTAGATTAGGTAAAGGAAAGTGAAGGGAGAGAGGGGGAGAGGATGTGGGGATAGGAAAGATAGTAGAATGAAACAGACATTATTACTGTATGTATATATATATATGACTGCATGACCAATGTGATTCTATAAAATGTATACTCAGAAAAATGGGAAATTATATCCCATCTATGTATGATATATCAAAGTGCATAAATGCATTCTACTGTCATGTATAACTAATTAAAACAAATTAAAAATTAAAAAAAGAAGTGTCAGATTTCAGAACAGAAACATTCCTGAGAAATCATCTGGCCCTAATCCTTCCTAGAGTTTCCTGAGTATGAAACAGCATAAGCTAGTAAAAGGCCTAGGAATGCTTAGTCAATTGTATCTACCATCTTTCTCTCCATGTCAAATAAGGGAACTCAGACACAGAAAGCTAAAATGACACATCTTAAGCCAAAAGGGATTATTATTATCATCATCATTATTGTTGTTGTTGTTATTTACTAGGCTTAAGAAAGATCTGGATTCTAGTCCCGTTTTAGTCCCATTAAAGAACATGGATACTTAGTTCATAATTAGTCTAAGGAACTGTGGGAACAATATGATGTGGTAAAAAGAGGTCTGGTTTAATGGTTAAATGGACTGGGTTTTGGCCACAGCTCTCCCTCTGGCTGTGCTCTACCTCTGACTATGGCATAGGCAGGAGAGGTGGCCTCTAGTCATGCCTCCATGGCAACCTGCTTTGTGATAAGAAACAAAGTTATTTAATCTCTCTAACCTTTAGTTTCCACATCTGAACAAGGAACCAGAGCAATGTTTTCCAAAGTATGATATGTATTCCCCAAGTATAGGCACTTTAATTGATTTCAGATAGTACCTAAATGAAAATCTACTAATTTTAATGTGTGTTTCAAAGAGACATATCTAACACACCAAATATGCAGCTTCATGTATATTGTTACTTTTGGTCAGACTAAGGCAGATTTTTGTAAGATTCTAAGAAATCAAGTCAGCATAGAAAACATTAAGTAATTAATAATACTGGTGTTCCACAAATACAACAAAAATTATGAAGATGATACATGAGTGACTAAAGCTTGGGAATCACTATGCAAAGTAATCCCTGAGGTCCCTTCATAATATATATGTGCTGTGTATGTATTTTGTCAGTTTTGTATGAATGTGAGGCATTCAGTGATTGTTGTTTATTGTTCAATAAATCGGTATTGCCTTAGTCCAAGAGACTAATCATTTTCATAAAATCAACTAGAAGGGCCTTACAGTTCGTTTAATTCAGTCCCCTTACTTTCCAGAAGAATCTGAAGCCCAGAGAAGTTTTTTAAAAATATCACACACAAAATTAACAGTTGAGACAGGACTAGAGCTCAGTTCACCTAATTCCAGCTATTTACCTAATTGACTGATAAAAGACAGAAAGTAATCATAAAATCAAAAGATATTGTCTAGATAAATTCAAATGTCTTTTCCTTTAAGCAGGAAGTCTATATATATTAAAACTAACACAGAAAGATAGATTTGGAGGGCAAAATTAAAGAACCAAGCATATTTATGTAAAAAACAACTGTCTCCTCTGTTTTTTCTAACATCAACATGCTTTCTTTCCTGCCCTAACTACAGCCATTTATAATTCATAATTCATACCTACTGAACCAGAGGCCTTTTGTCTCAGAGTGATCTTGTTTATGAACTAGAGGTATTAACTCAAGGTATTCAAGTGAGACGGGGGTGGGGGGGGTGTCAGTATTTCAAAAGCCATTTACCTTATTCACTTTTTTTGTAGCAAGGATTGAACTTAGGGGTGCTTAACCACTGAGCCACATTCCCAGCCCCTTTTATATTTTAGAGACAGGGTCTCTGTAAGTTACTTAGGCCCTCACTAATTGCTGAGATTGACTTTGAACTCGCAATCCACCTGCCTCAGCTTCTCAAACTGCTGGGATTACAGGCATGTGCCACCCTGGCATATTCACTTTCTGATCAACAATTTGAGGCTCCATTGCCTCTTACCTGGAATATAGCCTGCTGTCCATCAATAAATCCCTTTAGAACTTAAACATCTGGCCATTTTCTTTGTCCCCAAGAAGACTGGGTACAGGTCAGCCCTACTACTGATTACATAACAATGAGATACATCAGTCCTGCCTGAAACTCAGAGGATCCAGGTGAAAAAGTCCTTGTTTCTACAGAGATCAGAGGCCCAATAGAGTGTATTTTAGGCTAGAATTAGGACACGAAAAGAAGCCACTGGGAAACTCTCTTAGTTGGGCATAAATTGAGGTAAAATTAGCAAATAAGCAATGAGGTCCTGGTCCTGTAACTTACCCATGAAAAAGAACTTTACCATCCTTCTATCCTATCTCTTCACACTGCAGTCTAATCACTTTTCTCCTGTCATAAATAACAATAAATGGTATTGGAGGTAGGAAGGAGGAATAATAATGGAGACCTAAAATCATCTTGGCCTCCGGGTGTTGTGTGAGAGGGAAAGTGGCTAGATGGCAGCTGAATACATAGATGAAGGGGGTTTCCTTAAGAGGAAGTCCATTCTGTCACACTGTCTTTGTAAAGAAAAAAGAAAGAATCGTTTTCCTGAAACTGCTTATCTAATCACATAGGAAGCACTGCAACTTGGTTCTATTTTCCACAAAAGAATAACTCTTTTAAAAATCAAAGCTGAACAATGACCAAAGTCCAACCCATGATCCTGTGTGGCCTGTAAACTTTTCAAAGACATATTACTGTCAATTTAGGTATCAAAGCAATTGAGGTCCAGGAAAAGCCTCCAATATTCAATAGGCCACATCCTTGGTAGGGTAGAGTGGGAGGTGAAGATGTCCTGCTTTAAGAAAATTCATAAAGGAATTTTAAGGAGTGCTTGTTAATTTTTTGCCCACTTTCTCTTTTGTGCCTTTGTTCATAGCAAACAGCACTGTTTTCTTCCAAGGTCCTCTCTGCCTGCTCCCTTGGTGATGCTAGAGTTTAACGTGTAGAGTCACAATATCAAATTAGTTATAAAGCATCTTTGAGATCACTTAGTTCATGGTTTCTAAGGCTAAGGAAACTTTAGGAGCTAGGTGAATATTCTAAATATGGGGAAATGGCTGGGAGAGACTGGCGGGTAGTGGGGGGATCATAAGGGATGGTGGTAACTGTGGTGAATGGGGAGTCAGTGCACACTGTGGAAACAAAAACACAGAGCTAACCAAAATATCTCTACTTGCCAAATCTAGTCCAGAGGCCTCCTATTTGCAAACTGATTCATCCTCTTCTATTACAGATGCCAATGAGGGCCCAGTAGTGGAAGAGCATTTCCCAAGGTTACACAATCAATTTACATTCAGACCTGGAACTCACACCTTCTGTTCCCACTGAATATATTCAGGTAGCACTCACAATCCTTCCTGCCTGAGGCAAGGAAGATAATTTTCAGGCAACCTTCCCCTTGGGATCCATTTAATCCCATTCCAGTCTGATCTTCCTCTTGCCAATTGCACTATTCACTGGCCTGATGCTTCCCACACTAAGCAGGATCACTACATGATGCCCTTGACATTTGCCAGCTGCACTGCAGGCCTCTGAGTTCTTTGCAGAGCGGGCTTTCCTCTCTTATTGTGTTAAGTTCCTAGTCACACAATGCTGTGCATCTGGGAGCCAGATTTGTCCTAAAAGATGTTTCTTCAACTTTATACCACTGCTCTCAAACTAGTGACTTGGTGTATAAACAAGAAGGGTTGAAAGAATTTCATCTGCTTTCTATTTGAGTCAGACTTGGAGTTACTAAATGCCTTTAGTTTCCAGAACTACTTTTGTAGTTTCCTTTGGGAGATGTGGAAGGCATGGACGTCCACAACAAACCACACATTATTTCCCTTGAAGCTTCTTGCTTTCTGGTACTTCCCATAGAGGGGCTAGCCAAGGGGAGAGGATTAGGTGGCAAAGATCTCAAGCCCAGAATTTTCTCTGGTCTGTACTATGAGGGTTGGGATTGCATATGGAGGAAATAAAATACCAAAAGAAAGGCTCTCATGCCCTCAAACCACTCTCTTACCATCCTACCATCTGCTACTTTTGGGTGAAGTCATAGAAGATTCCAGCTTAAGTGCTTTTCTTTGAAAGACAACACTATAAGCTATTGCCACTCCCTAGCACTTTAGTGTTAAATTCACTTATCAGATATAGCAAATATAGAGACTTTAAGGAATGGGACACAAAATAGGTAACTTTGGTGGGGAGGGAGGGAAAATTTATAGCATTTCTCAATAAGGGTGATACTAGCATTTTGGTCAAGCAGTTTTTTTTGTGTGTGTGTGGGTCTGTCCTGTTTTGCAGGATATTTAGCATCTTTAGCAGCATCCACTAAATCCCTGTAGTGACTCCAAGTCCTAACAATCAAATCAATACCTTCTCCTTTATAAAATGCCCCTTAGGTGATGGAACTCCCCCATATACCAACATTAGAAAAATGTTTTAACATAACTCTGTTTTAACATAATTCTAATGTTTTAACATAACTCTAGTGATCAGACCAGGTTGGAAAATCTGAGAAGCCACATAACATGAGGGCACTAAGTCCTTGGAAAGTTGTTGTACAATTTATGCATGTTTTGGGAATATGAGTGTGTCAAAGGGTTCCTTCCATTATAAATATTCTAGAAGAGTATTGTCTAAGAGACTCATGCTAAGGAGGGTCAATGTGTATTCTGTTCATGGGCAGGTGAATTCTGCAAATTTACCAGTAATAGGCTAGGCGGAAGAAGAGGCCCTCTGTGAAACCAGAGGTCCATCAGACCGTCCAAAATTTCCATGCTAGCCTACCAGGTCCAGAGTTTTCAGCTGAGATTCCCTGCCAAAGAACTGACTATCTGAAACTGTCCAAATTTTATGAGAAGAGACCATCTCTAAACGGACCACCATGCTAATGAATATTCTTGTCTCTGAGTCAGAAAACTTGTGGGTTACTTTTGTAGTTGCTGCTTACCAAAGGAATCCCCTAGATGGGACAGTTACAAAGAAATAACATCATCTGAGAAATACCAGGTCTCTGAGTCAGTTCTACTTTAACACAACAATTTGGGGGAGGAGGAGAAGATGGGCATGAAGATGGGTCACTGCCCAGATGAGGGCAGCAATAGGGTCCTGAAACTTTTGAAAGAGGCTGAAAAGTGTTCTAGGTGTGGATATGAGAAAGTGAAATCAAGACTTTTCTGGTTTTGCCAAGGGTTTGTGCTTATCTGGATTTTCACTAAACTCAGACCCTTCCATCCCACTCCTGAAGCTTGTGCCAGTGCCCTAGAGACTGCAAACAGTGAAGGAGTCTAGTAGTACACCAACAGGTGTTCTTACCTGAGAGGTCCAGCTACATCTTCCCCGAGCGTCTCTTGTATGCGCCATTTTTAGACACTGACTGACTGCCTTTTCCTCCAAACCCTCAGTATTGAGGCACGAGCCATGCTGTGTTTGAGCAGAAATGGGTGGATCTGAGAGCTGAATTATACTATTGTATCAACCCAGGAGTTGAATTGAATCACTCAGTGGTCAGTCTGGCAACATCTTACTCCCATATCATTGACTTGTCTACTAACACAAAAGTGTTTTTCTAGCATCCCCAAAATGTCCCACCAGCAATCCATAGATTAACATACTGCATGCTCTACAGAATTTTGAATGCATAGAAGTGCTCAAAGAGGAAAGGGTCTTGAAAAGGAGGCCAATTCTCATGTTAAAAAAATACTATCTCAACCCAGGAAGTCTGTAATCCCTTGATGAGCAGAATCTCTGTTCAGGAAAATGAAGCAGTACAAAAGGTATCTAGGCTCTATTTCTGGCCACAGAGACCCTGAAGACAGTGGATCTGTGAGCCAGTGAGGGCCACGATGTCCCTGAAGAGCTCTGTCCCAGCCGTTCAGTTATACTAAGTGTATCTTGTTAGGCTGGGTTCCCTGTTCCCATTTCTCAGTCCCTCTAGTACACCAAAGCATGAGGGGGAATAAGAATTTTGCAAAATCACCATTTTGTGAGTGGCAATGGCACTAATATTAGCTCAAATTCACTGAATGCTACAGTGTGGAAGGATTCCTAGTGCTTCACAAGCATCATCTCATTTAATCTTCTAATTAAAGCTATGAGGTATGTATGTAGTTCCATTTTATAGATGGAAAAACTAAATCTCTGAAAAGTCAAGTGACTTCTGTAAGGTCAACCAACCAGTAAGTAAGTGCACAGCAATAAACTGACATCCGTCAGGAGATTTCCAATGGGGCTCTAAAGCTACTCATTTGGGAAAGCACAGAGAAGCACATGCCTGCAGAATATGGGGAGAGAGGGAAGGGGTTTCCATTCTCCAAAAACAGAGACTTCAAATATTTATAATGAGGATCTGGTCAGGGTGAGTTGAAGGAAAACAGGAAAACAGGAGGAGGAGGTTTGTGCTAAGGGGGTTGGTTTTCACTGTTCTCAAGTTAAGAGATGTTCCTACTCTACCCTGTCCTCCATATGGCTAAAACTCAAGCATAGCAAACAGATCTCATGCAGTTTTAAGATCAGGGAGCATGTTCTCTGACTTAGCAGCTCAGTAGAGAGGACCTCATTTGGCTTGGACATCCCCAAAGAGTAAATATCTTGAATTATTTGCTGCAGCTGTACCTGACATCTGAAGAATGAGGCAAATGGCAAGTAAATAAACTACTCATTAAATACCTATCTGTTAATGGATTTTCTTTTCAAAGTTCTTCTAAGAAGTGCCCTGAGCTCAATCCACAGTCAGTTTAATCATATCTTCCCGTTCATTCTTAGATCTAAAAAAAAAAAAAATAGTACTCACTGGTGGTCATAATACCCTTTGGCTTTGCAGCTTCCTCCCTCACTAGCTACATAGTTCAAGAAAGAAGAGGCCCTGTGAATTCCATTGTCAAGGAGGCATATAGAAGAATTTGGGCTTTTGAACTCAGACTGGCTTTGCCTGGCCTCCAGGCAGGTGAGACCATCTTGATTTGAGTATCAAGTATAAAATATATTAGCAAAGACTCTCTAAATTCAGTCCCTACTGGAAAAATGAGAAGAACTTCAAGCCTACAGATGAAGAGTTTGTTGAAAAGACTAGTCAGAAAATAGGATTTTAAAAAGATCATGTGATTATTGCCATCCACATTCAAAGCGAGAGCAACTTGCAATGGAAACTGATAATTTCTTACTTGGTTCCAACATGCAAGGTCTTGGGTCAGGACATTTTGGGTGATGGAAACTGGTGGAAAAACTGTTTTTATTAGTAGTGGTGGTACTACTGCTGCTGCTAATCATAATGGAGTTTACATGGGATAAACTTTAGAGGGCTTTATATTTTTCCCAAATGTTTTCATATGCATTATGTCAATTAATTCTCCTGAGTATTGCTGTTGTATCATATTTTAAAGAGAGGCACGGAGTGATTCAAATATCTGTCCGAGGTAACCAGTACTAAGAAAATTATTTGACTAGATAGTGACATTGATGCAATCTCCCCCTGAATGGTGTTTCCTGCTGACAAATGTTTAGGATTTCTAGTAAAATCAAGGATTAAGCACTGAACATTACTGGCTGAAGCAACACTGCCCAAGGTGCGCCTCCTCCAATGCCCTCCTTCCCCTCCACCTCTGCCCCTAGGCCTTCCTTAGCTCACTCAACTTATTCTCCCTCTATCTTTCTACTAACTGAACCCTTACTTTCCTTCAGGACTCAAAATAACTGCATATTCCAAACCACACTGATTGGTCTCTTCTCTAAACTCCACTTTGGTTCATGCATGTTTTTTGAAAACTTGGTGAAAGCTAAAGACCTTTTTCTTCAAGGGGTATATATGGGCATTTTTGCATATGTGCTCATGTACACATGTGAACACATGCACACACATATCTGTGAGAATACAATTTTAATCCTTTTGCTAATTTAAAGAAGGATTTACCCTCAAGGGTGGATAAATAAAATCTGGGAATAGGCATCTTGCCTGTGGAATAATCCTCCCCTATTGATGTTTATCTACCATCCTCTGGCGATCCCCCCCCCCCGAAACTTAGAGCCTCTAGCTTTATGCTATTCTTGTTTACCTAGGGTTGACCTCTACTGTGGCTCCCTCTCTATCCATATAAGTAGTCTCCTTCTGTCAGTACTCAGTCTGGTTCAATGAGCCAGTTCCCTTAACAGACAGATCCAAGATATTAAGTGATGAAGAGATCTGCAGATTAATTAGGACTTGCAATTGATCCAATGTCTTTGAGACAGTATGGAGATATTTGGAGGGGAGGTTCTTTCAGAACTACTATTCATTTCACTCATGAGAAGACATTTCTGTCTAGTATAGAATACATGATACACACAGTTCTCTTCATATTGTTTTATACTTATTATCTCTGTACATAAATGAGATAACAGGTATAAAACAATATGAAGAGAACACAAAGGCAAATTCACTTACATGATGGTCTTCGCTAGACATCTATCTTCAAACTTTGTATCTCAGGTTCTGTCACTGTTGTCACTGGCATATCATTCCTTCACATAATTACCCCAACAGTTTTCAGTCAGAACTAGCAAAGGGGAAGAGGTTAGGAACTTACAGTAAGTGGCTCTATTTCCTTCTTATGAAAGAAAGACCACTGGATAGACAGCTTGTCCGTGGAGGCCACAGTGGTGGTGTAGAAGCAGAGAAGAGTGACATCAGATCCAGTAGTCACATTTACGAAACTGTCTGGGATGGTCACTTGCACCAGGTTAACCTGACCTGAAAAGATAATGATCAGAAAAACAATGGTACACATTTAGATTATGATGACACTTTTTTTGGGTCACAAAACATTTTCAAAAATATCTTATTTACAGAATCCAAAGTGAGGAGGAGAATATGGAATGAACCATAGAGGGAAACTGAGCAAACAATGAGGCCAGGGAAAGGGGAGTTTCTAACAAGTTGCAGTGTAAAGATATTCAAAACCTAGGTGATGATGAGACAATAGCACTGAATTGGGAATTCCTCCTATTTAAGGATTGCATACATTCTTGTCCAAGAGCCTCGAAAAGGTCCATAAATATGGATAACAACTAACCAAGTTTTCTAAGCATCAAGAGTCCTTTGAATGTGGGACTTTTAGTTTTGAAACTCAATAGGTCTCAAGCAAACAATACTTGTTTTTATAGGACTTCAGGACTAAAGCCAGAAACATCCCAGGAAAACTGGGATGAATTGGTTATTCCTTCCCTAAGACCATTGGAGGGGTATTTGCAAGATCAAAATTACATTCATAACAATACTAAGATGTTGTTTATTTTCTTTTTCATTCTCATTCTCTCATGAGTATATTGGAGTTTCCCAAAATCTACATGACAGGTAATGATGTCATTGTTCTAGTGGCTAATGAAATGTGTGTTTGTGTATTTTTTAAAATTATTTTCTCAGTTTTAATTTTGAACATAGCACATATAAATAGAAATAATTTACATAAAAATATTTTGGGTCCTCAATTTTTTGTGGTGATGAGACTGTAATTCAGGACCTCATACATGCTAGGCTACCACCCTACCTCCATCTCAATAATTTTTAATTGAAACTTTTATTAAGATAAATATAGATAATTATAGATTCACATGCATTTCTAAGGAACAGTAAAGATATACCATATGCATTTTATTCAGTTTCCCTCAATGGTAATATTTTGTAAAAACTATAGTATAGTATCACAACCAAGATATTGACTTTGATACTACACACACTGACTTTATTCATAGTTCTCCAATTGTACTTGTACACATGCAACTATGAGCATGTATTTAGTTCTATTCAATTTTATCATATGTGTAGGATTGTGTCTCCACTACAGTCAAGATACTGAATACTTCCATCACCACAAATATGCCCCATGTTGCCCTTTAAAAGCATTGACACTTCCCTCATGTACCCTATCCCTGCTTCTAACAATTGACAACTACTAATATGTCTTTTATTTCTAAAATTTTGTCATCTCATAAATGTGCCATAAATGGAATCATGGTAAACTTCTGGCACTGGTTCTTTTTACTTGGCATAATTACTCGAAAATCCACTCAAGTTATATTAGTAGTTGGCTGTTTTGGTAATATCTGATGGTATATATGCATCAGAGCATAACCATTCACTCATTTAAGGCATCTGAAGTATTTCCAGTTTTTGTCTAGAGTAAAAAAGTACAAGTATTTGTGTACAGATATTTGCATGAACAGAAATTTCATTTCTCTGGGAAAAATTCCCAAGAGTGTAATAGCTGGGTCATATGGTAGTTGCATGTTTAATTTTATGTAAAAAGAAAAGTCACACTGCTTTCCAGAGTGACTGCAACATTATACCTTTCTATCAATATGGCATGAGTGTTCCAGATTCTCTGTATCTTCACCAGCATTTGATGCTGTCACCATTTTCTATTTTAATCATTCTGATAATTTGCATTTCCCTAATGGCTAGTTATGCCAAACATCCTTCACTGTGATTATTTACTGTTTCTATAACTTTTTGATGAAATGTCTGTTCATATTTTTTGCCCATTTGCTAATTGGATTGATTATGGTTGTGTTTTGAGAGTTCTCTATGCAATCTAGATGTTAGTCTTCTGTCACGTAGACAGAGTTTTATTTCTTCCTTTTGAATCTATATGTTGTTTCTTTTTCTTGCCCGATTACAATGGCTATAACATCAAGTACCATGTTGAATAATAGGAGTGAGAGTGGATATCTTTGCCTTGTTCCTAATCTTAGGAGAAAAACATTCAGTTATTTCACCATTAAGTACAAAGACATATGTTACTTGTAGATGCTCTTTTTTGAATTGAAGCAATTCTCTTCAGTGGGTTGAATTGTGTCCCCAAAAAAGTTTAGTCTAAGTCCTACCCCCCAGTATTCTGAAGTTTAATCTTATTGGAAAATAAAGTCTTTGCAGATGAAATTAAGTTAAATATATTTATATGAGATTATCATGCATTCAGGGTTGGCCCAATTACTGTTGTCCTTATAAGTAAAAGGAAAGGAAAATTTTACACATACACACATACAAGTAAATGATATGTAAAGATGGAAGCAGAGATTGGAATGATGCTTTTACACATCAAGAAATGACAAAAATTCCCAGCAGTCATGAGGGTGAACTTCATGGCACAGATCTTCCTTCAGAGCTTTCAAAAGTAATCAAGCCTAAGAACAATTTGATTTAAGACTTTTGGCCTCCAGAAACGTGAGATAATAAATTTCTCTTGTTTTAAGTACCCAGTTGTGGCAACATTTTATAGTAGCTCTGTGAAACTTACATACTTGTTATTCCTAACTTTCTAAGAGTTTTTCTCATGAATGAGTATTGGATTTTGCCAAATGTTTTTTCTGCACCAATTGATATGATCATAATTTTTCTTTAGATTATTACATGAAAATACATGAATAATTTTTGAATGTTGAACCAGCCTTCCATATTTGAAATAAATCTCCCTTAGTCATGATGTGTAATTCTTTTTAGACACTACTTGATTCAACTTGCTAGTGTTTCATTGAATATTTTACTTCTAAGTTCATGAGAGATATTAGTCTGTAATTCTCTTTATTTGTGCTGTTTTTGTCTGGTTTTAGTGTTAGGGTAATACTGTTCTCATAAAATGAGATGAAGTGTTCTCTCCTCTTCTATTTTTTAGAAGACAATATACAAAATTGATGTTAATTATTCTTTACATGTTTGGTAGAAATATCCACTGAAACTACCTAGACCTGGAGATTTCTTTTGTAGAAGCTTTTTAAATTATGAATTCAATTTCTTTAATGGTTATAGGGCTATTCAAATTATCTATTTCATACTGGGTGAGTGTTAGTGGGCTTTTATTTAAGTTTTAGTTTTCTTTTATGACTCTTGAATGTAGCAGTATTCTTACAAATTGGTATCAAAGTGCACTTTTGATTTTGTGTTCTGGGCACCCTGATGTTCTGAGAACAGATTATGCAAGGTACACTCAACCATTGTGCAAATCATCTATAAACCTTATTCTGAAGGTACTTTATTTTTGTTTGTTTTTGAAGAATGTTTAGTTACTTGTTCCGAGACTACATTTTAAGGAAAAAGGATGCCCAAACTTGGAAGCTGCTGTTGCAAAGAAAAGTAAGAATGTACAGCATGAGGAAACTGAGTGATATAACAAGGAACCCACATGGAAAGGTGAGATTGGTGAATTACTTCAATGGAAGGTATATAAAGAATGGTACAGAACAAGGACCCACAAAGAAAGTCAGAAAGTTGGATTTAAAGAGATGTGATAAGCTGGGCATGATGGCTTGCTCCTATAATCCCAGCCTTTGGGAGGTTGAGGCAGAAGGATTGCAAATTCAAAGCCAGCCTCAGGAACTTAATGAGACCCTGAACAACTTAGCAAGACCCTCAAAGTTAGAAATAAGAAGGGCTGGGGATGTGGCTCAGTGTTTAAGTGCCCCTGGATTCAATCCATTACCAAAAAAATATTAGTAATGTTGGATTTAATTCCAGTACCACCTCCCCCAAAGTTAGAAATGCTATCATGACAATTGAGATTAAAATTCCTATGAGTTATATTATTGTACAAATATACAAATTAGACAAACATATGGGTAAGTCAAGGCCCTTAATGAACAAATGAACACAACGATTTAGTTAGGGAAGCATTTGTTGAGTATTTTTAATTCTTTATATATTCTGGCTATTAATCCTCTGTTGGAAAAATAACTGGCAAAGATCTTTCCCATTCTGTTGGTTATCTCTTTATTAATTGTTTATTTTGCTGTGCAGAAGTCATTTAATTTGATGACATGCCATTTATTGATTCTTCCTCTGATTTCCTGAGCTATAGGAATACTAACCAGGACATCTTTGCCTGCACCTGTGTGTTGAAATATTTTCCCTTCTAACAATTACAAGGTTTCTCATCCAATTCCTAAGTTTTGGATCCATTTTGAGTTGACTTTTACACAATGTGAGAGATAAGAATCTAGTTTCATTCTTTTACATATGGATATTCTGTTTTCCCAGCACCATTTGTAAGAGAGGCTGTCTTTTCTGCAGTGTATGTTTTTGACACCTTTTGAGAATCAGATGATTATAGCTGTGTGAATTTGTTTCTGTGTCTTCTGTTCTGTCCTATTGGTCCATGTGACTCTTTTTATGCTGTACCTTGCTTTTATTGTTTGTTTGTTTGTTACTATGGCTTTGCAGTATAATTCAAAATCATGTACTATGATATCTCCAGCATTGTTCTTTTAGCTCAGGGTTGCTTTGGCAATTCTGGATCTTTTATTCTTCCATATGAATTTTAGGATTGCTTTTTTTCTAGTTCTGTGAAGAATATCATTTTGAGGGGGATTACATTGAATTATAGCTTGCTTTTGGTAATATGGCCATTTTAACAGTATTAATTCTGCCTACCTATGAAGTGAGAGGTTCCAAAGACTTTCTCATTTTTCTTAATGACAGCAGTCATAGAAAAGGATTTTAGGGGATTGGGAAACATTTTGAAGAAGTAAAAGAAACAGCAAACCATTGTACTGATTATCCTTTGTTTCCTGGATTCAATAGCTGTATTTTGTGTTATAGCCAGGCCTACCTTGGCAGCAGACAGTTTACATGACAACCAATGCACTGATGAATTGAGAAAAATGCTTTAGGGTAGGCACAAATACAGGATTTTCTAATTCCATGCATTTTCCTTCTTGCAATATTATTCTTCTCATAATTTCCTTTCCCATGATGCCTTT